AAAATTTAAGGAATAATCATCCACTTCAAAAGTTAATCGGGAAAGAAAATAATTTTGGTATATATTAATTTTAAAATTAAATCCATTTTTAAAAACCCCCAAAATGATTCCAAAAATCTGATAAAAATAATTTAGAAAATTTTTATTGTCAATTTTATATTTTTAAATAATTTAAAGGTGTTGAATATTTTCTCGACAAAATTTATTCAATAAATTTAAAAGAAATAATTAAATACAATAATATAAAAAATAAAGATAAAATAAAACATTTATTTAAAAATAAAGAAATATTTGAGGAATTATCAGCCCCTTTAATTAAATTAAATGAAAAAGAGGCAATAAAAGATATAAAAATATTAATTAAATTAATTAGAGAGTTATTAGGGTTATTTAAACCTTTCAATTTTGAAAATAAAATTAAATGTTTTAAACCGATTCTTGGAATTTTAATTAATCAGGAAGATGAAGAAAAGAGGGAAAAAGAAGATAAGGTTAAAGAATTAAATTTTTTTCATTTAGAAAAATTTTAAAACGAGATTGACGTTGGGAAGTAGTCTGTAAAGTAATTTGAGTTCGGATATACAGAAAGAGTTTAGTAAAAGTTTAGCCAACGGGCAGGATTCTGCGACAACGTTAACAGTGCTCGCTCGGCCTTGCTCATACAAATACAGGTGCTCTACCACTGAGATATCGGGGCATCGAATTCTCTCTCGAATTCTCTTTCTAGAGAAATCAGACTTACATTACTTTAATATTTTTTATTTCTAGATAGCTTTCTATTTTAAATCTTCTCTTGATTGTGTTTCTTCTATTTAAATAATAATATTGTTTTTGATAATGCTGTTAATGATTTAAATGGATTTTTGGTAATTTTTAATAAATAATATTTAATAAATAATTTTTACATTGAATAAAAAAATTTTTTGTCTGCGTTTTCTTTTAATTTTCTTATTTTTCAATTTATAAATTAAATTATAAAAAATAATCATGAAATTAATTAAAATTATTATTTTCAAAATTATATTTCCAAATTTATTATTTAAATTTTTGAATGTTTATATGATGGATAATTTAATTGGAAATATTTTTTCTTTTAATAAAACACATAATTTAAATAATAAAGAGAACAATTTAGTTTTGTGTAAAAATAATGGGGAGGTATGTGGAAACTTTAAAAAAATATTCTCAAAAAATTATCTTTATTTTTTGATAAGAAATATTATTTAGAATTAAAAATAAGAATTTAAAAATAATTACCTAATTAAAAATAATTAATTAATTTATAAGCTTGTCACATTTCTTGCATCAATTCAACTCGAATTAATTTCCTTTCTTCAACAAATTAAATCTGAAGACTTACCAGAATTGGAGGAAATAAATGAATATTGGAATTATTTTCAAAAATTATTTAAAAATGAATTATTTCCTAAATTAGAACGTTTAAAAGCAGAATTAAAGCTATTAGATCAGAAAAATTTAAGGAATAATCATCCACTTCAAAAGTTAATCGGGAAAGAAAATAATTTTGGTATATATTAATTTTAAAATTAAATCCATTTTTAAAAACCCCCAAAATGATTCCAAAAATCTGATAAAAATAATTTAGAAAATTTTTATTGTCAATTTTATATTTTTAAATAATTTAAAGGTGTTGAATATTTTCTCGACAAAATTTATTCAATAAATTTAAAAGAAATAATTAAATACAATAATATAAAAAATAAAGATAAAATAAAACATTTATTTAAAAATAAAGAAATATTTGAGGAATTATCAGCCCCTTTAATTAAATTAAATGAAAAAGAGGCAATAAAAGATATAAAAATATTAATTAAATTAATTAGAGAGTTATTAGGGTTATTTAAACCTTTCAATTTTGAAAATAAAATTAAATGTTTTAAACCGATTCTTGGAATTTTAATTAATCAGGAAGATGAAGAAAAGAGGGAAAAAGAAGATAAGGTTAAAGAATTAAATTTTTTTCATTTAGAAAAATTTTAAAACGAGATTGACGTTGGGAAGTAGTCTGTAAAGTAATTTGAGTTCGGATATACAGAAAGAGTTTAGTAAAAGTTTAGCCAACGGGCAGGATTCTGCGACAACGTTAACAGTGCTCGCTCGGCCTTGCTCATACAAATACAGGTGCTCTACCACTGAGATATCGGGGCATCGAATTCTCTCTCGAATTCTCTTTCTAGAGAAATCAGACTTACATTACTTTAATATTTTTTATTTCTAGATAGCTTTCTATTTTAAATCTTCTCTTGATTGTGTTTCTTCTATTTAAATAATAATATTGTTTTTGATAATGCTGTTAATGATTTAAATGGATTTTTGGTAATTTTTAATAAATAATATTTAATAAATAATTTTTACATTGAATAAAAAAATTTTTTGTCTGCGTTTTCTTTTAATTTTCTTATTTTTCAATTTATAAATTAAATTATAAAAAATAATCATGAAATTAATTAAAATTATTATTTTCAAAATTATATTTCCAAATTTATTATTTAAATTTTTGAATGTTTATATGATGGATAATTTAATTGGAAATATTTTTTCTTTTAATAAAACACATAATTTAAATAATAAAGAGAACAATTTAGTTTTGTGTAAAAATAATGGGGAGGTATGTGGAAACTTTAAAAAAATATTCTCAAAAAATTATCTTTATTTTTTGATAAGAAATATTATTTAGAATTAAAAATAAGAATTTAAAAATAATTACCTAATTAAAAATAATTAATTAATTTATAAGCTTGTCACATTTCTTGCATCAATTCAACTCGAATTAATTTCCTTTCTTCAACAAATTAAATCTGAAGACTTACCAGAATTGGAGGAAATAAATGAATATTGGAATTATTTTCAAAAATTATTTAAAAATGAATTATTTCCTAAATTAGAACGTTTAAAAGCAGAATTAAAGCTATTAGATCAGAAAAATTTAAGGAATAATCATCCACTTCAAAAGTTAATCGGGAAAGAAAATAATTTTGGTATATATTAATTTTAAAATTAAATCCATTTTTAAAAACCCCCAAAATGATTCCAAAAATCTGATAAAAATAATTTAGAAAATTTTTATTGTCAATTTTATATTTTTAAATAATTTAAAGGTGTTGAATATTTTCTCGACAAAATTTATTCAATAAATTTAAAAGAAATAATTAAATACAATAATATAAAAAATAAAGATAAAATAAAACATTTATTTAAAAATAAAGAAATATTTGAGGAATTATCAGCCCCTTTAATTAAATTAAATGAAAAAGAGGCAATAAAAGATATAAAAATATTAATTAAATTAATTAGAGAGTTATTAGGGTTATTTAAACCTTTCAATTTTGAAAATAAAATTAAATGTTTTAAACCGATTCTTGGAATTTTAATTAATCAGGAAGATGAAGAAAAGAGGGAAAAAGAAGATAAGGTTAAAGAATTAAATTTTTTTCATTTAGAAAAATTTTAAAACGAGATTGACGTTGGGAAGTAGTCTGTAAAGTAATTTGAGTTCGGATATACAGAAAGAGTTTAGTAAAAGTTTAGCCAACGGGCAGGATTCTGCGACAACGTTAACAGTGCTCGCTCGGCCTTGCTCATACAAATACAGGTGCTCTACCACTGAGATATCGGGGCATCGAATTCTCTCTCGAATTCTCTTTCTAGAGAAATCAGACTTACATTACTTTAATATTTTTTATTTCTAGATAGCTTTCTATTTTAAATCTTCTCTTGATTGTGTTTCTAAATTTGAAAGAGAAATTAAATATTTGCCTAAGTCGATGATTAAACGAGAGGGATTGTGCAGATATTTTATTGACAATTGTGGGGATTTATTTGGAATATTATTAAAAATAGTTTATAATGTCGACGATTATTTAAATAATAATATTGTTTTTGATAATGCTGTTAATGATTTAAATGGATTTTTGGTAATTTTTAATAAATAATATTTACGAAAATACATAGATCAAAATAAAGTATTCAGAATCAAAACAAAAGTTTTAATAAAAATGAAAACGAACATTTATTTTCTATTAAAATTATTTACTTTGCTACTTCTAAAATAAAAAATTTAGTGTTTATTTTAGCATTCTTGGACGAAGAATTATCAATATTATCATCAGAACCATGTCAATATAATAACCAAGACTTTATAAATATAATTATTAATTCATTCGATTCAACAGAATTAAAAGCTAATTTGCTTAGTATAATTAGAAATTTTAAAACGAAAATGATGGCAAGAAATGAAGAACAATTAGAAACTTGTGTTGCATTAATTTTTGAATTGGATAGTGAAAATGAAGACGTTTACAAGAATAATGATTAAAAAGAGTCAGTCAAAGATTGCATAATGCATATTTTTTTGTTATTTTTAATAATTTTAATTTTATTTTAAAAATATTCATGATCATTAAATATTATTTTTTGTTAATAAATTTTTTTTGATTAATAACAATAGTTATTCAAATAAAAAAAAATCAGTCTATATAACTAAATCACAAACCGCATTTCTTGGAATGTGTTATGTAAAATCCTTAAATGATAATAAATCCTAAATATTCATATATGTATTTATAATAAGTTAAACAAGCTATAAAAAATTTTTTAATTTAATTAAATAAATTAAAAACGAATTTTCTGCAAAATTAAAGTTCCATTTATTCATGTTAAAATCACAAGATTTTGGAATAAAAGGCCAAAAACTACCCACACATTAACAACAATTATAATTTGACAAATTTTTTTAATAATTTTTATTTATGAATCATTTAAAGAAATGTTAAAAAATAAATAAATAATTTTGCTAAAAAATTATTTAAGAAAAGTTGGTAGCATTAAAGAAAATAAAATGTTAAGAAAAATTCAAACAAATGGCAAACAATGACATTTTGGGAATATTTAAATGATTGAAAATTAAAAAAGAATAAACATAAAATAAATTAAATTAAATATTTTATTACAAAATTAAATATATTTTTAATTATTTTCAGATGAATTATTTAATTTTTAATATTTTATTTTTATCAATTTTTATAATATTTTTAAAAAATTCTGTCGCTTTTGAAAAACTTTATTCTGAGGATATATTTGGGCTTTGTAATTATAAGGGTAATATTAATTTATTAATAATTAATTAAAGTAAAAATTAAATTAATTTTTAAAGAAAATTCTGAATGTTTAAATTCATTATTTAATTTAACGGATTCAAACAGCAATGGACGTATTTCTTTTTGGGAATTTATAAATACCTTCATTATTACTCATCAACTTTCGAGCGCCCATATTTCCCGAGCTTATAAATCCAAAGAACTTCAAAATTATTTTGATTTGGCTGATAAAGATAAAAATGGATATTTAGATGAAGTGGAATTTCAGGAAGGAGTTATCGGTAAAATAAATATACATAAAATTATTTTTAAATAAAAGTTTCTGTTAATTTTCAGAGCATAAAGACACTTCTTCAATTTATAAAATATATTTTGAAATAATTGATGAGGATGGAAATGCAAAAATAGATTATGAGGAAATGGTGGATATATTTGCTGCTAAAGAAGATATGAGTTATCAAGAGAGAAATAATTTAGTTAATGATAAAACAATGAAGGAATTGTTTGATAAAAAGGATAAAAATAAAGATGGAGTAATTGATATTGAAGAATATATCTTTGAGAGTGATTTTAATGAAATTAATTTAAGTTTGAATTTTAATTAATTTTTAATCAATTAATTAATTAATTAATTAATTAATTAATTTAGCAACAGAGAAGCCAAAAACAACACAACAATTAATTAAATTAAGAAAAGAACAAAATTACCCGAATATAGAGGAGTTTAATAGAAAAACAGATGAAATTAAATATTTTGAAGAAAAAATGAAAATATTATCAGAATCGTCAACAGATTTAAATAACAATAATAAAGAAGATAAATTGCCAATAATTTTTGAATTATTTACTAAAAAACCAGAAATAATTAAAAAATCTGAAAATATTAAAATAATTAAAGGTATTTAAATTTGTGAATATATTTGTTTAAATAAAAAAAAATAAGATCAAAATATTAAAAAAGAACCATCTTTGACAACTACAACAACAGAAACAATTATTGATGATCATATATTAAATTGGATTTATTATGGAGGTGAAATTAAAAGTTAGTTTTTATTTATTAATAAAAATATCAAGCCCAAGTCTAAGAGAATCCCTCCAAGTCTTTTTAACCCATGTAAATCCCATGTAAATCCATCAACCCCACGATATTTCTTTAAATCCCACCAGATTGCCATTAATTCCGTTAGATATCTTTTAATCCCTCTAAATCCTCCGATAATCCCTGTGTTATCAAAATGGTGCAAAAATGTGAAATTTTCGAATTCTATTTTATAAAATTTTTGAAGTATAGTATAACTTGGTGATAAATCTTATTCAATTTAAATTATAGCTAGTACATCTCCCCCACAACCAACACCAACTACATCTACTTTTATTTCTTCCAATAAAAATTCTTTATTACAATTAGAATTATCGTTTTTGTGGGAAGATGGAAATTTTGATGAAAAGCTTAGTTTTGATGAATTTATTTCTTTTATGGCCAATCAATTAAATTTAAATGGAGAAGCGAAAAAAGAATTATTTAATTCCTATGCTCTTAAATTGTTTTTCAATATAATGGATGTGAATAACGATAATCAATTAACTTTAAATGAATTTAAATCGGCTTTATGTAAGTATTTATATTTTTAAAATAATCCAGTTTTTATCTATTTTTTATCCATTTTTTATCCATATAGAATTTTGTTTTATTTCAATCTTCAATGTTTAAAACTATTAACTCTCTAAATTACCGTATTTTTTGTATTAGAGCCCCATGGGGCTCTATTTTTCAACTATCCTTCAAAGTGGGGCTTTATTACAGCGTGGGGCTCTAATAGAGCGTGGGGCTCTATTTTTCAACCAATTTTTGAAAATATATAAGGGAATTTTCAATTATAATTAAGGCTGTAATATGTATATAGGCAACTGCCTATTTTTTACTCAAATGGTGAAATTTGTCACAAAAATAAATTTCACCATTGTGATATTTCTAAAGTTAATAGTTAGCGTGTACAGTTTGGCACGATTAAGTGGATTTGAGGTGGATTTAAAGCCGAATTTTATTTTGTGGTGGTTCGAATCCTATCGAGCCTTTCGATTACTATATGTATTCTGCTTCAGTCTGCACGGTCACTCCGTGTATATATCTCGGTTTAGTCCCAATTGAAGAATATAGATGTGATTAAGAAGGTATTTGGGGATTAATAAGGATATCGAGTGATTTTGAGAGTATAAATGATTTGGGGATTAATCGGATAGCGGAGGATTTCTGAGATGAATCTGCTGATAACTAGGCTGATCTCGCCAATATTTATGCTTGCCAGTATATAAAAGAATCTCTGATATCTCCTATAACATCCAAATTCCTCTATTGTAGAGGATTTGGAGCAGCTTAAGGTGTTATTTATCCCCAAATATCCTCTTAATCACATATAATATCTAGCATTGGCACAGAACATTAGATAAAAGGAAAAAACAGTATAGTATTAAAAATTAATAATTTATTATACAATAGGTAAATTTTAGAAAATAGGGCTCTATTTCAGCGTGGGGCTCTAATACAGCGTGGGGCTCTATTTTTCAACTATCCTTCAAAGTGGGGCTTTATTACAGCGTGGGGCTCTAATTCAACGTGGGGCTCTAATACAAAAAATACGGTATCTTTTTTTGTTATAATTTCATTTACTATTCAAAGTTGAAAAACACCAAACAACAAAAACTACAATTTTACAAGAAATATTTAATGTTTTGGACCTAAACAAAGATGGAAAATGGGAATTTACAGAATTTACTGATTTATTAATTATATTTTTTGAGGCAGAAAAAATTGAAGGGTTACGTGAATATTTACTAAATGACGAGGAATTTAAAGAATATTTTTTGAAAGGAGATAAAAATGGAGATGGATATTTTACATTTAATGAATTAGTTAAAAATAATTAAAGAATTGGAGAGAAAATAAAATTTTTTGAATAAATTTTTGATTTTAACTTTAAATTCCAAAAAAGTTGTAGCAAAATAAATTCTATTTAAATTTAAACTATTCTTTTGTAAATTTATATTTTCTTTTATTTAAAAAATAAGAATAAATAATATTTAAAAATAAAATGTTATTTTTTGTATTAAAATTTATTCATTCAAAATAACCTTTAAAATGAAAACATAAAACTTTAAAAATTTGAAAAGAAAGGCAAATTTTTATTTTATTTCAGCAATTGAAACATAAAAATAAATTTAAAAAAATAAAAATGTTTATTTATATTTTAATATTATTTTATTATTTTTGGTTATCTTCTATTTTATCATTCCAAATTAATTATTCTAACAAATTATCTCTTTCAGAAAAAGGTATAACAAAAATAAAGACTTTTAGTAGATAGAATTTAAGATAAAAGATTTAAACGAACGTTGTTATGGTCCCAACTAGAATATTTGTTAAAAACCCACCAACTTTTTGGCCTGTCCCTAGTGTGGGTCTATAAAGGGGTTCGGCTGTATTTTGATAAAATATTCATTAAATTTAGAAAATAATAAGAATATTCTTTGGAATGACAACTATTTATTTGATTTGGCTGATACAAATTATGATGGATTTATTTCATTCTTTGAGTATTCTTCTGCTTGGGGAGCTAGAAATCGTTTGGATATAGATCAAATAAATAGAGTTACTCGTTTGCCTTATTTATATGAACATTTTAAACGAATGGATATTGACAAGGATGGACTTTTAAATTTTAATGAATTTATTTATGATATAAGTAAATCATTTAAATAACTATAATTTAAAAATTAAATAATTTATATGTAGTTTTACTTTAAAATTTTTTAAAATTCTACTTAAACAAGTGAATGCTATAATTTTATTTTCATATCCCTTATAGATAAATTCCTTTCTTTTTTTTGATTAATTCAATATTTGATTTTCAGATAATTCCCGTATAAGCAGAAAACAATTGGGAAAATTATTTTTTCAAGCAATGGATGAAAATAGTGATGAAACAATAACATTTGATGAATTTCTTAATTTTGTTTCAAATATCTATGGATATAATTATAACCAAAAAATAACACTATCAAATAATATTGAAATGAATTCAATTTTCTTTGGCAGAGATTATAATAAAGATAGAATTCTTAATTTGGATGAATTTCTTGGAATTATAGATAAAGACCATTATAAAATTAATAAAGGTAAGTGTGGATAATTTAAATAATTTTAAATTTGTTTTTGAGAAAAAGAAGTAACAACGATGACAACACCTTTTGATTTATTGGAACTTAATGGCACTACTACAACAAATATTTTTATTACAAGTGAAAAAATGGATGATAGTACAATTATCTCTGAGGTTTTTAATTTATTTACTAAAAGTATTAAATAGTTTATTAATTTTAAATTTGTTTAATTGCTTCTAAATTGCCTAACAAATGCCTTTTTAAGAGTACAACATTAAATCAACAACTAGAAAAAGAAAATTATCAAAACCTTTCAACACTAACAACATCGACAACAGAAGCAATCGAGTTCCCAACAAACAAAACTTCAATCATTCCAACAATACCAACAACAATACCAATTTCTTCAACACAACCAACAATAATTAATTCATCAAATGTTACATTATTATTGCCATCAACAACAACCCCAACAATAAGCTTATTGGATTTACTAACAACATCAGCCAATATATTATTAACTGAACAACCAAACACAGAAACAACATTAAAAGAAATAACAGAAACTATTAATTCGACAATTACTCCAACAACAACAACAAACAATATGAACATTTATATCTCATCATCAATTTTACCACCAATATCAGACACAACAAATGAACTTCCTACAGAAATGACAACGAACTTAATCAATTTGTCATTAGCTTCATCAAAAATGACAACAAATCAACAAACATTAACTGAAACAATAAACAATTATACAATTTTACCAACAATATTTAACTCATCAATCGAACCAGAAACAACCTTTATAAATTTAACAAATTTCTCAACAAGCCTCACAACATCCAAACCTGAAGGCTTAAATGAAAGTTCTACAACTCCAAATTTTTCTGATTTTTTAATTTCTAGTACTACAAAAAGTTCAAATGGCAACGAAGGAAAATCAACAAATTCTAATTTAAATTTTCCGGATATTATACCAGAAGATTGGCAAGTGATTCCATAAAATAAGAAATTTTAATTTGTTAATTTATTGAAGATTAGAATAAATATTATCATCCAATTTTTTTAATTAATTAATTATTCTTTTTCATTGAGTAAGTACAGAATTAGAATTATTTTTTTAATTAAAAATAGTTTTATAAATACATCATGTACCTCCGTTAAATAAAAATGAAAAAACTTTACAAGAAACTGTAATTTTAATTTTATGGTTTTTATGGCTGGAATTTATGGCCAAACAGAACCTGAAAATTCTAAAAAAAATTTTTAAATTTTTGAAGGTTTTCTTTTATTAAACGCCGTCTACATATTTTTTTTTCATTTTTTATTAATTAGCTTATATTTCGAAAAATTATTTTTGATTAGTTATTTTTATTAGTCTTCTTTTTAATTTTAAAAGTTATTTAAATTAAAAAAATAAATTTTAATTAATAAATAGGATGTATTAAAAATGTGGGCGTTTAAAAATATTTTGTCTGAAAACAAATAAATTTTAAAAAATATAGGAGCAATAATATTTAAAAAAATTTCTGAAATTTGCTAATCTCTTTTGCTTTAAAAGTCGAAAGTTTACATTTAATTCTCTATAAAATAAATAAATACTTCCATTTACTACAAATTATTTAAATATTTTTTTCAATAAATTTAATTAAATAAATAATTTAATTATTTTTAATGTTTAAATTTAAATTTAAAATATATTAATAATATTTTTGTATAATTAATTTTTATTTAATTATTAACGAGAAAATACGCGTCATAAAATTTTAACTAAGCGGTAACCGGTTTGTTAAACCAAAATTACGTATATATTCTTTAAAAATTTTAATAGCAAAAAACTGAAAATATTTAATTCCACAAAAATACTTACCTAAATAACACATTCAAAACCTGTTTCCAAAAATAAAAATATTTAAATGGGTGTTACATATTACTAACTGATTTAAATGAATAAACTAATAAAATTTTAGAAAAATTATTAAAATTAATTTAGAAGTTTAATATATTTTAAAAAAAATAATTAAATTATTTTTACTTACTATTTAGTTAATTAAACCAATGAATCATTCCTTTTGTTCAAAATTTTTTATTTTACATAGCTATTTTAGTTATTTTATTTTATTCTCAATTTTGTATTAAAGGAAATGGAAGTGGTTTTAATTGTTTAAAAAATAATTAATTAATTAATTAAATAAAAATAGAAATACAAAATTAATTAAATTATTAAATTAAAATTTTTGTATTTCCGATTAAATATAAAATATAATATTTATCTAATTAATTTTTAATCACGCAATATTTTTTATTTGTTATTTTAAATTAAATTTTCTTTTATTATTTTAGAATTTTGCAAATTTATATTTATAATTTTATTTTTCTCCTTTTTATTTTTACCAACACAATAGAATAATTTATATTTATTGTTTTTAAATATTTTTGTTATTTAAAGGAAAGGATTGCTTTAATTCTTAAATAATTGAAAGTTAATATTTAGTTATTTTGATGTTAAAATATCTGTAAATATACCTCCTATTTATTTGATTATATTTTTGTTTATTTTAATATATTGGATAAAATTAAAATTTATTTTAAATTAGGTATAAGTTGGAAGCAGCTTTAAGCTTGCTTTGTTCTGTTTATATAATTTAACGTTTCCCTCATCACACCATCCGTTCCTCCTTAAATCCTCCTTATCTTTGGAATGTTAGTTCAACTTTAACCCTATGAAATTAATTATAGTTAAATTAGTAATTGCTACTAAAATATTTTCATAAATTTATTGAAATTAGTACAAAATTTTTTTGCAATATATATTCTCCTTAAATCTAAAATCGTTATTATTACAAATTAATGACGCAATTTGTCTATCAAAAATAAATAAGGGATTTCTTAGTATTTTGTTCTAATCTCCAAGTCATTTCATGAAACAAATTTATTATGGAAAAAAAGAAATCTCAAGAATTAAATATATTTACGCAAATTCCCTTTTATCTTCTTTAGATTCTTTATTTTTTAATTATTTTTGATGAATCATTAAAAGAAATGTAGGGATTAAAATCCAAAAGCTAAAAAATTTTTTAATTTAATAAATTTATAAGTATTTTCAAAAATCTTTACTTTTAAAAATTAAATAATAATTTTTTTAATTTTTAATATTTTTAGTAAAGAATGTTAAAGTATCTATCAATATTTATTTGTATTTTTAATTTGGTATTAATACAAGCAATTCTCAACACAAATTTAAATGATAGGTATTTATTTAAAAATTTAAAATCCCAAAACCTAGAGGTTATTCACTCTCTAGAAGGGGTTAGGCGATTGAAATCTGTAAAAACTGGATTGAGTTAAGCACAAAATCTAGCCTAAATCAACATGTTTTTCTAATTTGTGGTCCCACCTTTTCCACGGAAACAATTAAAATTTTTGTCAATTTTCAATACCAAATAAAAATTATTTTATAAATTTAATTACTAGAAATAAACAACAAAAATCAAATATTTTCCGAAAAGCAAAATTAGTGCCTGCAGCCACAATTGGACGTTACAATACAGAATGTTTTTTTACTCCTGTTAATTGTCACAGATTTACTGAAAGAGAAATCAGAGTTTTCTCGCCAAAAAAAGAAAATTCCACAGAAAAACAAAAAATTCAAAGAAATAACCATAAAAGACGATTACACTCGATTAGAAATAGAAGGCTTTAAAATTGTATTATTTATTTTATTTAGGAATTTATTTTTGTATTTTTAAATAGAGATTTATGTATTTATTATTTATTTATATTTAAAGATTAAACAATAAACAAAGACTTTAATTTTTAATATGTTTCATGCTTTTACGCTACAACAATTGCACCGTTTTGCGCTCGGTATTTGAACTCTCATTTCAATTTATGACTGATTTAGTATACTCCTCAGTTATTACACAACTTTTCAGACCCAACTCAGAGTTAAAACTGACCAAAAACCGGTCATGGGCCCGATCTGATTCGAACTCAAGTTGATTACATAAGACCGGATGGCTTAGTGGTTTTAAATTTTTGAAATTAAAAAAAACACTTCAAAGGAAATTATTTCTTAATATTTAATTTAGCACTTTATCATGTAAATATTTTTTTCAAAACCAGACGTCTACACAGTCAATCAATTAGACAGTCTGTCTAACAAAAAATCGGAAAATAAATACTTTTAATTAGACGTCTGCCAGAAAAATTTTTAGACAAAAACAAAAAAACCCAAACAAAATTAAATGTTTAAAAGACAGAATATCAAAAATATTTAACTAATTTTAATATTTATTTGTTTAATATTATTTAAAAAAATATTTAAATTTCTTTTAAAAAATATTTTTATGCCTAAAATAATTAAATTATTTAAATATTTTTTATTAATTAATTTAATAATTATTTCAATTAATTATGTAAAGACAAATGATCCACCAGACAATCAATCAGAAATACTGGTTAAAAATTCTAAAAAAGAATTATTTGGAAAGTTACTCCGTAAAATATTAGTGAAATATTTAAATGGGGAAATTCAAATTAATGAAGAAAATGAATTAGTAGATATAATTGAATTACCTACTCCAACAATTGTTGCATTAATAAAAGGTTTTGAAAAATCTTTTTGGAATTTAATTAGTTATTATAAGAATTCAGTAAATTGAATTGCCAAATAATTACCGTAAATCTTCTAATAGAATCACACATTCCAATAGAATGTGTGTTTACGATAAGGTATTGTTGGTATCCAGACGGGTTTTGATATCCTATTATTAAAGGTTAAAAGATAAATTATTAAAATTTTCTTTATATAAAAATTAAAATTTAAGGCATTGAAGATATTTTATCAAAAAAATTTATTAAAATAAATACAGAGGCAAATAAAGGTATTGAATGCCGTGAAACAACGAAATTATATTTAGATAATGGGGGATTTTATTTATTTCTTTGGGAAGCAAATTTAATTAAAACAAAACCATCAATTTGGGAGACAGAGCCAATTAAAGAAAAATTAATGTTTAAATGGTTTTTTGAGTTTTTTGAGCGTTTATGTTATAATTTGGGTAATTATTTAATTGAAATGACAAATAAAAATAATAAATACGAAATAAAACAGCCTTTGTCTGTTCAATTTGTTAAAGCTATTAAATGTTTGGATTTATTTGCTTCAGAAGAAGAAGAAGAGGAAGAGAAGTTTTTAAATTAAAATATTTATAAATTAATTTTATTTAATATAAATATAGAGGTGTATTTACTGAAGGTGTTTTTGAGTTGGCATTTCCAGATTCTGTTAAAATATATTTTGATATGAAAGAAGATTGGAAAGTTAGGGAATTAGTTAGAGAAGGTTTGTGTTAATTAATAAAATAAGTAAAAAGGAACCTCTTTTTTTAAGAAATCCGAGCCTAATTAATAACCTGAATAACCTAATATACCTAGTTTAATTATAATGATTGTTAAAGTAACTAATTAGAAATTATTTAGATAATTTATTGACATTCAAGATATTGTCCGAAAAAAGTTTTTGGATAGGAGAATTATTTTGGACACTTGAATGGATATCCCATAATTGGATGAATATGGAAGAAGCTTTAAATAATAGACTTGATGAGGTTAATTTTTAAAATAAAAATTTTTAACATATTCTCCTTTTATTTAAATAGGATATATTTACAAATTTATCAAAAGAATATATTCCAAGTTTATCTACTCGACTTTTAGAAATTATTTGGAAAAATGCTGAAATAAAGAAATTAGAATTAAAGCCGGATATTGTAATTTTAAAATTTGGAACAAGACTTGCTGGACGTTTACTTCGATTATTAACGAATAATGCTATTTTATATTTTAATCAGCCATTAAATATTAAAATAAAATTGGAGAATCTACAAGCGGAATTAAAGGATAAATTTAATATAAAAAATTTAGAATATGCTAAAAATAATCTTTCAGTTGTTATTGATGAATTAGTAGGTTGGGAAACGTTTATACATTTTGAAGAAGCTTTAAATATTAAATGGCACAGTTATAATGGTGAGGAGAATTATTTAAAACTCCGTCTTATAATATCCGTCTTATAGACTCCGTATTATAATATAATAATACTTAAGTAGTTATTTTTTAAGAAAACAAAAATACCCTAGATAACCTTTAAGGGAAGCTTGAAATAAAAAATTAAGACTAGAAATTTTATGAAATTATGATCTTGTTTCATTTAAGAATTTAATTTTCGATTTTCGATTTATTTTTATTTACGAAATACCGCTTTAGTAAACAGTGTCGTACTTGTCCTTGGTTCGAAAACAAAATCGGAGGGGTACGTGTAAGAGCAAAATCGAAATTTTCCAGGATTGCTAGTAAATACAATAATTTTTTAAAATTAAAAACAATTATAAAAGATATTTATAAAACAACTAATTAATAATCATATTTATTTATTTAGTTGTAACACACTTTATAAGAAATATTCATAGACACATTTTGGTGATATTAAATTCTTTATCTATAAGAGAATTAAAATATCATGATTTAATTACAATTAATAAAGAATTTGAAATATTTCCGGAAATTTTTTTACTGAAAGAGCCAATTAATTTAATTAATTTAAAAATTAATGAATGTAATGAATTGTTTGAAAAATGGGAAAATAAAAAAGAATTGACTGTAAGAGAAAAGAAAATTTTATTTGAAGAATGGATAAATAAAAATTCTGAATTAAATAAATTATTGGATATAATTAATTTAAAAATAATTAAATTGTCAAATTATATTTCTGGAGAACAATTAATTTGGGGAAATTAATGGAAGAGGTGTGTGAAAAAAAGAAATTAAAATAATTTTTTTAAATTAATAAGATTAAAAATTAAAATAAATATTAAAAATAATTATTGTTATTTAGTAAAAATCATAAAAAATAAAATTATAAATTAATTTTTATCATTGACAATTTTTAAAAAATTTATTTTCTAAATATTTTTGTGACAATTCGAAAAATGATTATACATAAAAATGCATAGAGTCACCAAAATTTTCGACTGTGGGGATAAGGAAGAATTTCTAGTTTCTTGCCCTTCTGAACCCCAAAATTTTCACCTGAGATACTTAAATGATTTTGTATAATTCTAAAAAAATTGTGTGAATTGTTTATTATTTCCAGCTAAAATTTAGAAAAATATAATAATGTGATTTAACTAAAAACTAAAAAAATTAATTTTAAACAGAATTTGAAAAAATACATACTTCTCTTTCAGAAATAATTTTTTGTAAAATTAAATTGAACAATTTTAAAATAAAAATGATAAATAAATTTAGATTTAAATTACAATCCCAAAAATGTTAATTTTTTATAAATAAAAATTCTTTAAAAAATTTCTCAACTAAATCAAAGCTCTCCTTCAATCAACTTTTAATTTATAACTTTTTCGAACTGATTAACGTTTAAAATCAGGTAAAAACTCAATGTCTTCCAACTCATCAAAGAAAGCTAAAAATAAAAATAATTTTATGAATTATTTTAAAAATAATACAATCTTCATTGTTAATATTTGCCTCAATTTGATTTTCATTATTTAATTGGTTACCTGTAATAATTTAAATATTAATATAAGTAAATTATTTAATATGTTTATATTAATTATTAAACTTACTTGACGATGGATTGGTATGTTGTAAATTATCTGTTGAACTTTGCAAATTTAAATTTGGATTAATTTCTAAATTGTTAAAATATTTAAATTATTTAAACGTATTTTGTTATTTTTAAATTCTGGAGTTTGTAAAAAATATTTTATAGATTTTTATAAAAAAGTAAATTTGGTGTTAACGTAGATTTACTTTAAAATATTTTTATTTTTGTCTAGAAATTACATACTTAACAAAAATTAATCCCTTCCTTCTACTCACCAGTATTAGTTGAAGAAGATGCTTCAAATTTGTGATTTTTATCTATTATTTTTTGATTATTATTAAAATAAAAAATTAAATATATCTTTTAATATTTTTTTGATTAATTACCAAATTCCATATCGACAGGTGAATTAATTGTAAACGCATCATTCAATGATACTCTTCTAGTTGTGTTGATTTTACCTTCTTCAATATCTGATAATCCGACAAATTCATCTAAAATATTTTAAAAAACAAATTTTAATTGACTAATTAACCATCTAATTTCTCTGTTTGTTCATTATTTTCCACTGCCATTTGTTCGACTTCTTGGTGTTCTTGTTGTGGATGATCAGTAATCTCATTTTCTAAATTATATTTAAAAATTGTTTGTAAAATTATTTTTATAAGAATTTTTTTAAATTTTATTTAAATTTATAATTTTATTTTTAATTTTGGAATAATAATAATTAGATGCTTTAAGATTTAACAAAAAAATAATGAGTAAATCTCTATAAAAATTAATTTAAATAATACGTTGAGAATGATGCATTGAATCATTTTCTGTTGTTTCTTCATTTAAATTTTCATTATCCTCCATTATTTGCTCTTGAATAATTTCTTTATTCTTACCTAATTTTATAAAATAACCTTTCAGAATTTAAAAAAAATAATAAAATTTTAATAATTATGTAAACTCATGAGCTTATCAGGCTGCTTTTTTGAAAATCAGTTAACATTAAAATAACTTTTATAAAATAAATATTATAGCTTAACCTTTTAAATTTTCTAATGTTTTTGAGCTGTTGACTAAAACATCATTTTCTATAAAAATATTTATTTATAATTAATTTTTTGATAGAAATTAAGAGTATATCGGAACCTATTTAAAAAACAAAATACAAAAAATTAAAATAGGTAATTCGATTTAAACCCACCATTACAAAAATAAATAAATATATTTATTTACCAATTATTTGATTTGTTTCGATAATTTGTTTATCTTTTTTATTTTCAATATTCTCATTTATTTTCAAAAAATCTTCAGTCATATTATTCTCATTAAACTTGCTATTAAGCACTTCTAAATATTTAAATAAAAATTAAATAATTTAATTTATATTTTTAAAAATACCGAGCGCAATTTCTTCAGCAATTTTCTCATCTTCTAATGCTTTACTTTTTCTATTTTTGTATTTTCGAATAATTCTTGGATTTTTAGTTTGCTTACTTTTACTCGTTTCTCCTTTTTCTAACACAATTTTATTTTTATTTTTAACATTAAAAACTTCTTTTTCCAAATTTTTATTCGAATCTTTCATTTTATTTTCATTTTTCTTTTTAATAGATTGCTTTGTTTTAATTTCAGGAACTGGTTGTTTTCCTTAAAAATTAATATTATTAAATGTGAAAAAAAATATAAAAACCTTTTTTTGAATTATTTCGAAGTCCATATTTTTGTTGAGAATTTTGTGCGGAATTATTTATTTCATCTAAAGATTTGATTCTGGACCGAGTGCTCTTAAATAAAATTAATTTACAAATAAATAAATAGTCGGACCCCAATATCTCACATTAAAACTAATTTATTTATAACTTTGGTCTGAAAGTGTAAGTGACTTGCATACTCTCCCTTTAATGTAAGATTGTATGTGCAAGAGGGGTGAACTTTATTGAGGTCAGATTATATTTTAAAATACTTTGGTTATAACTGCTGAGCTCTTTTCTGAATTTTCCATATCCAAACCACAACTGAATTCAAGCAATCCTCTTGGTTTTATTTTATAAATATAAATAATGAAGATATTATAATCAAAAATCGCTTCATTGCATTGAACTTCAGCCCTCTTAAATTTATTTTTTAAAAATTATTTTTACACTTTATTAGTAATTTAAATGTTCGACTTTTTTTAATTTTTAGTCAATTACCTAGAGAACCTTTAATTTCTAATTAAGGTAATAATTTAACACAAAAATTTTTTTAGTTATTTATCTTCTTTCACAAACAGACTAACACTTTTATTATCATTTTTACTGACACTGAGTTGGTAACTTATCCTTTTTCTATTATTCTCCCACTTATCTACAACTGTTAAATTAGATAATTTAATCAACCGAATAGCTTAAGCTCAAAACTCAATCGAAAGTTTTTAACACAGCCTAAATCCGAAATACAATTTGATCTAACTGAAAATTTGTAGTTATGGACAGCCCTGTTTAAAAGAACTGTCATTGTTTAAAGCTTTTCCCAGTACTTTTCTATTTAATAATTACCTTATACTCATTACTAAATTTTTTCTTATTTTCTTTCTTTTTTTCGTTGTTTCTTTTTCGTTTATTTGTTCCGTTTTCGTTTTTACTATAAGTAATAAAATAATTATTTGAAGGACAAATTCTCCCTCTTTCAGCAATAAACAAACCACCATCTTCTTCTTTAAATGAATTTATTTCGTTAATATTTTTAATTTTTTCTGTGCATCCAATAGAATAAATTATATATTTATTATCTGGAAAATCTAATTGAAATTCAAGACTTTTATAAGGAATATCGAAATCGTCTTCATATTTTCTTTGAGTAATAATTTTCTCTTTTAAAGAAACTTCTACAATATTTTCTTTATATTGCAAATTAAACTCTCCAGTAAATAATACCTTGAAAATTAATTTTAGTTAAAGACTCACTCTTAGATAACCCCAATGGATTCTTACAATGAGCTTTACCTTAGCTAGAAAGTTCAACTAGAGGGAATTTTTCCCGGAACTGCTAGAGAAAGGTCCGCACACTGCTAGAGAGACGTGCCCGCAAAAATCAGATCCGCAGTTTCTGGTATACAAACTTGTCTTAAACTGAGAAACTAATATGTATATATAATTTAACCTTTTCTTTATCAGTATTTCCCTCCTTATTTAATTTAAAAACTTTTATTTTAAATTTATTATTTTTTGTTAATTTAATTATTTCATTTTCTTCTTCATTTATTTCCCCTCCCATTTCTTCAATATTTTCTTCAAAATTAAAACTAGCAATATCATAATCTTTAGTTTCTAATTTTCCAATTTCTTTTTCCTCATTTCCAATTTTATAAAGATTTATTTCAAAACGAGGAGAATACTCCATTTTTAAATGCTTCAAATTATGTATATTTATCCAATTAACAATTTTTATATTTATTGTTAAATTGTCTCCATAGACATAATTTTCTTTATATTGTAGAAGCAATAAATAAATAAAAATTAAATAATGAATAATCATAATTTAGATTTTTTTAATTTAAAAATAAAAATTTTTTTCAATGTAAAAATAAAAAATAAATTTTTTTAATGTAGGGTAAGGCAATAAGGGCAATTTCACAATCGGTGAATTCACTCCTCACTATCAATTGATTTTATGATTGATTTTATATCTTTATTTCTCTAGCTTTTAAAATTTATAATGAAGAGATAGAAAATTAATTTTGTATAGCTATAGCCGCATCTTCCTTTTTTTAAACAAATTTTTTTAATTTTTAATTTTAAAAAAGAAGTATTGACTCCAAAAATTTAAACCGTTTATTTTAAAATTATTTTTTCAAAATTAATAAAGTTTTGGTATTCTTACAATAAATGAATATAAAAAAGTTATGTTAAATAACAAAAAAAATTATTCTTTATCGAACACAAATAAATGTGAAACAATAATATAAAAACTCCTGGATCTACAGGGATTACTTATAGAGACTCATAAACAATTACCGTTAAATATTTCAAAATTAAAATTATTTTCTGATGTTTTGTTCTCGAGATTTTTACATACAAATTTATACAATAAAATTTACACAATATTAAATTTAAAAAAGAATTTTTAATTTCCGGATATAGTATTCGGTAAATTATTTGTTTGTTTTGTTATTGTTCTAGATTGATTCGTGTTAGTTAACATTCTTGAATTATTTGTTACTCCAATACGATTTTTAGTATTATTTTTAGCGAGAACTGTGACACCATGAATGTGAGTAACTTTGTCTTTTTTAAATATTTTATAAAAAAGTTTTTTGCTGTCATTTCGAATTGTTTTGTTTAAAAGTAAATAAATAATTGGTGGAAAACCTTTAAAAAATAAAAAAATATTTTTTTTTTAATTTTAATTTTAAAAACCATGGACATGAAACCAGCTAAATGTTGCTGTAATTATAATTGCTTCATTAACCTCTGCATATTGCATATAATCGTATAAACTTGCCGCAGTAAAATTAATTACACTAATTAAAAATATTTGAAGAATTATCTTAAATAAAAAAAATTTTTGGGAAAAAATTCAAAATAATTTTACCACTAAATCAACATTCGAAACTTGATTTGGAGCTGATGCCCCATACATTCTTTTCTTTATAAATAAAACAATTGCAAAACAAATGTAGCAAATTGGAAAGAAAAAAGCTAAAGACATATTGTGGATTGAATGTAAAATTGATGAATACTTTTTAAATTTAAATTAATTATTTTTAGAGAAAATAAATTACTTGTTCTGTAACATTTTTATATCCCCCAACATATGGCTCAAAAAACCAACCAAAATATAAACTTGAAAATAAAACTGGCGGCATATAGAAGACCCAATAAATTGCATATAAAGTTATTATAGACAACCATATCCATGTTTTTTTGTCTTTTTATTAATAAAATATTTTTAAATTTTTAATTAGAGCCTTGAAATTAATAATTCAATTTTTGTAATATTTTTAAATTTAATTCGGTAATGGGGGAAAATATCACTCAAGGTGGTAATATTCTCGAGGCTTTTGTCCAAGCAGAGGGTAAAATTCTTGATTATATTTTTTTCTTATTTAATTCTCTATCATTTAAACTTTATTTCATCTAATAATCTTCAATTTGAATAAAGTTATGGCATATGTAAATGTGTCCTATTTCTTTTATGTCACCTTGTACTACATATAGTAGAACTTTTCAAAAATTTTTCACTTTTTAAAAATTATTCTTTTTAATTTTAAATAATTATTATCTAATTTTAAAAATATTAATTATTTACCCGTAAAAAGTGCAGAAGAAATCCTCGGGGATATTGTATCCAAACATCTGTTAAAAGCTAATGTCGCCTCGGCAACTGTTTCAGCTGCCCATATAGCTATTAAAAATTTAATTTTATTAAAATTTAATTATTTTTTTAAAACCATTTCCTAAATTTCCGCTAATATAGACAAGCAAAGGGGAAGAACAAAAAACAACTCCTGTCATTCCAAAAATTGCAGTTTCAAATCCACATATCCAGAGAATTAATAAATCCGTTATTCCAATATAAAAAAGGAATTTGTAGCAAGCATTATCAATATGTTTCCAAAATGAGAACATACAAGGGATATATAATACCTTTTTTAAATATATGTAAATAAGATTAATATGAAACATAGTTTGTATCTCTTTGACCTGGGAGATTTGTTGGGGAGATTGGTGCAGATTAAGTTGGAGAGCTGTTTCGAAAAAGAAAAATTACTTCGTAAATCGAAAATAATTTCAAAAATTTTTGAAATTGAAAATCGAAAATTGAAAGAAAAATTACCTCGAAAATCAAAATTCCGAAACAGCTCTGATTCGGACTGAAAATCGGGATTGGGATTTCAGAATTTAAAAACATTGAGATTTCCTATATATTTTTTGTTATTCGATTAAATTTTAAGTTTGTCTACAGCCCACAATTTAATGTTGAGAAATTAATCCCTTACATAATAAATAATAAAAAGCAGCATCAAAATACTTCCAAGTATTGGACTTCTTCTTGTTTCAATAGGTATATAATCAACGTCTATATTTACACAATTATATTTTCGATTAAATTCATGAGGGCGCCAGATCATTAATTCCATTTTTTTTAAATAATTTTTTATAGAATTTAGTAAATTAAACTTGAAACTAAAAAAAAGTAAATTTAAATTTTAATAAAATGCCTCAATAAAAAATAATTTTTTGAAATAAATAAAAACTAATTTGTTTCGTAAATATAAATGGATAATTCAAATAAATAATTTAAAATATTTATTAGATCGAACATTAAAAAATAATTTTTTTCGAAAAATTTAATTTTTTTTATTTAAAAGTGAATAATTAATTAGTTCAAGAGAGAATATTTAAGAAATAATTTTTACGTCAAAAACCTTTATAAATTATAGATATAAAATATCAAATATCATTAAAATCTGTCAAATTTTTAAAAATTATAGAGTTTTCATATAGTGCTTCTTAGTTGAAACACCCTGTATAATAATTAATAAGAATTTAAGGGAATTTAAGGGAATAAGAATTTGATTTAGAAAATAAATTTTTTTAATATGTAAAAATTTTTAAAATATGTAAATATCTTACAATATTGAATATCCCAACCCCTCCCCTACGCTTCAATTACCCGTTTTCCTCACCACAGGTATATACGAGGTTTTGCCGAAAATCTAAACTAAAAATAAATCTAAAATAAAAATCTAAAAATAAAAAACTTTAAATTTTTTAATTAATTTTTGTTATAAATTTTTGTTTATAATTAATTTTTTATATAAAGATAGTCAAATTTTAATAATAGTCAAATTAAATTAACTAATTGTCAAAGACAATAAATTGTTAAATTTAAATTTTTTAGAGAAATTACTTAAAATGATCTCCATTTTAAAAGATTAATGTAAAAAGTTATCTGTTTATATATTGAATAGATAATCATTTTTTAATTAATTTTTGTTGCAAATATCTATTTTAATATTAAAAATTATTTAATAAAATAATATAAAATTTTTACGACTTCCTAAACATTAGAAGGACAATTAACCGGAAAGTTTTAATATTTAATTAAAAAATACTTAAATAAATATTATAAGAATTGTTACATATTTACTATTAAAGTTTTTTAATTAAATGTCGTTTTAAATGTCACGAGATATCTGGAAATTTATTTTAAAATTATCACGCAACAAGTATGAAAGATAGGCAAATTTTAAAATTAATTTTTTTTTGTTTTTGAATTAACTGACATTTTCTTGAAACAATTAATTAGGCATTGGTTGAACGTTGATAAATTTTAAATTTTTAGTATTATTTAAAATCCATGGTGAGGCAAAATTCCCCCAATCTTGAATCAAAATATTTTTAAATAAACTATCTTGAAGGCGACTAATGTTTGCAGGTCTGGCTCTAATAATTTTAATGTCCTCAAAAGTCTAAAAAATAAATATTATTTATTTAAAAAATATTTAAAATAAACTAACCACATTTTTACTAAAAGTCTCTGGATATCCTAAAGAAGTGTCTTGACCAGAATATCCCGTCACACTAATCATAGGCCCTCCTGTAGCTGTATTACCATTATCTACCGTTACACTTTTCGCATTAATATCCAAAAAATGTGAAGGTGTTTTAGCTCTAATCCAATTTGTAGAACCCAAATTATATGTCATTGAAAGAACAAAAGCACATTGAGAGCCAGATTGATAAATAACATTTGAACGATTAAATAAATGCCCATTAATTTCAATTATATTTTTAGTGCCAATTTCCCTCATTGCTGTGTCTCGGAAATAAAAGTTTTTGCAACCTCCGCCTGTTTGGGCTGTACTTTTTACTCTCATTCCATTTTCAGTTAAAAAAGCAACATTATCCTTAAATATTTATTTTAAATTTAAATGGAGTTTGTAAAGGATGGTGATTTTATGCTTGTAAAGGATGGTGATTTTATGTGATTTTATGCTTGGAATTTTGAGGATATAATTTTTAAAAAAGCAACATCATGTCAGTGCTGGGGAGGGTAGTGGCTTATTCCCATATGAAGGGATTGAGTAAATTGTCTTGGCTTAGAAATTGGTACATAAATGGATGAAAGAGCATCTAGGCTTTAAAAATCATTTAAAATTACTTCAGCAAGTATATCCTTAATCCAAGAACCAGTTTCACTTCCCAGAACAACTACTCCATGACCTTCCCTCATATAATTATTAAAAACCCATCCATATTGGGTTGGAGGGAAATTAGCAACAGATTGTCCTTGTCCAGCTTTAAACACAACACAATCATCTCCACTATTTATAAAATTATTAAAAATTATTGTATTTATGCTTTGTGATTGTATTCCATCTGCATTATTTACATTATATGTTTCTGTTTTTGTATAAGCACAAACCTTTTTCAATATTTAAATAAAAGTATTTGTTTAATTAAAAATTTATTTTTACCACATTCTTGCCAAGTAAAAATCTAATTCCATGAAATGCTGGATTTATTAATTTAATATATCCAATAAAAATATTTGTTGCATAATAAAAAGTAATAAGACTTGAACGAACACTTGCATAAGCATTAACCAAATCAGAATTACTCATACTTCCATTTGACCGGTTTATAGCTGCTTCCATCTGGCTGCGGGCTAGAATTCCCGTTATATTCCAAGTACTAAAATAGCTATTTTCATAATATGCTAGATGGTTTCCCAATTCATCAATTGTGTCAGAAGAACTTCTTTGCCATCCTTGGCCATCAATTGTACCTAATCCGACAATTTTAACATTTGTTAACTTAATTAAATTTTAGTTTTAGGGCATTTAAATTTTTTCTTTACATTATTTATTCCATATAGAAGTGCAGCCACAACATTATTAACCAACGGATAATCAACAAAATTAGGAGATCCCCGTAAAATTGTTCCATTATCAATTTCTAAAGTCATGTTACTACGTAAATAAAGAGCTCCAGTTAAAAATATTTTTCCATATTTATCGGCAGAAATTAATATTTTGCAATCAAATGCCGATTTTGAATTTTTTGAACATTTATCAATTGCTTTTTGAATTATTTCTGTATTTAATGTTTTTCCATCTCCTTTTGCTCCACATTTTGACACATTAAAAATCTTTTCAAATTTTAAATAAATTACATAAAAATTAATTTAAAATTAACTCGAAACAATGAAAAGAGAGGTAAGTTGGTACCTCTCTCGGTACTTCTCTCAATAAAAAGCGAGGTACCTACAAAATAAACTAAAAATATTTTGTATAAAAATAGGGTTTTTCTAATTTTAATGCCCAATACCGATCAGAGTTAATAATCGGACAGGGTTTGAAGTTCCAAAAATCATTAATTATGTTAATTTTCTATTCTTTATTATTATTCTAATTACGCAAAACAATTTATGATTATCAGAAAATCATACCATAAAAAATATTTTAAAAAACCTTTTTATATTTCGGAGCAGTTTTATGAACAACCTCTTTACTTTCCTTGGATTCTTTTCCGCTCTTATCAACAGAACGTACAGTAAACGAATATATTTTGTTTGGTTTTAAATTTTTGACAAGAAAAGAATGATAATTAATTTTTGTATGAAAATTAAATTTATCTTCTTTATAAAAAAGATTTATGTAAGGAGAAGCAGGGGAATTTTTAAAATTATTTTCATTAGCTCCCCCAATTAATTTTCCATTCATATAAATATTATAATCAATTATTTCTTTATAATTTTTTGGTTTATTCCAAACAAGTGTTAAAGTTGTTTGATCATAAGCCAACGTTGGAACACAAACATTTAAAGGAATATCAGTATTTTTATTAGATGATTGTTGAGGTAGTAGAGAATTTTGAGAGCCGCAAGGAGGGCTTATTATTTCTAAAGAATAGGAAAAAATTCTTTTATTAAAACATTTAAAATCTATTGAGAACTTATGTGTACTATTCCCCAAGAAAATTATTTTTTCAACCTATCCCTGGGATGGGAAATTAATCAAGAGTGGTAAATTAATCGAGAAAATACGTTAATAATAGTATAAAATAGCTTTATTATTCTTAAAATTATTTTTTATTTTATTTTAGTTGTATACACTAAATCGAATGCCGAAATGACGAGATTGATTATCTTGGTAATTCTGCGAGACTACTCCTGAAAACCATGGGATCTAATTAATCCGAAAATTGAGAAAAAGGGATCCCATCCCATGCCTAGTACATGCTTGACAAGTTGAATACCCACAACAAATGTTAATGTAATTTGTTACCTTTTTTCGCAAATGCATATAAAATTAAATTAATTTGCAATGAAAATAATAAACAAAATATAAAAATAATATTATACATTTAGATTTATTTAGAATCTTTTAAAAATAAATATAATATTTTGGTTTGTTTTTATAATTTATTATAAAATTATATTTCAATGATTTAAAATTTTGTTAAATATAAAAATTAAAACTTTAAAATTAATAGAAAAATTTATTTTTATTTTAATATTTAAAATAAGCTTTTTAAAATAAAATATGTATAAATTTCTGAATAAAAATTGCCAACACTACTCAATGAAGAGATTCTCAAAATTTTATTTATTCAAACGTTTATTATAAATTTATATTGACGATTCCAACAATTAAATATTTAATTTATTTGAATATTAAAAAGCTAAATAAATTCAAAATTTTAATTTTTTGTCTAAGGAATTTAAATTTCAAAAACCTTTTATTTTTTTGTCCTTCTATTTACGCAAAAATATTTTTTTAATTTTCTGTATTTTTTTAATTACTTTTAACATTCCAAAATATATTCTTTACATATTTAAGTACCAGTATGTATTATTATTTTTGTTTTTTTTGTGCAAGCATTGCCAGTACATATTTATAATATGAAAAAACATTATCATTTCGTTTGCTGATTATACACAAGTAATTTGTTTAGATAAATAAATGATAAGAAATATGTACTTAGAACTATTACTATAAATAAAAAAATTATTTAAATATTTTAGGAGTAATTTATCTTTAAAATGATAATTTTATTCATTATTATAATCAAAGCTGTCCTCAATTGTCTTTTTTAATTTTATACCTCTTCTCATTAAAATAATTTTTGTTAAAACAATAATTAAGTTTTAGTTCTAAATTTAGGTCTTTAAATTTAGTATCAGTCAATAAGTTTGGGAAAGGGACGGCAATGTATGTATTAGAAACGAAAGTCTATCGATGGGTATGGGAAAACAGGCTATTTTTTAGCAAAAGGCAGATTTAAAAATTTATTTAAGGGAAAATTATCAGAATAAGACTAAAATTAATTTGCTTTTCTTCATTTAAAAAAACAAATAAAAATGTCTACTAAAAACAAAATAATTAAATGTAAAGCAGCTATTGCTTGGGAGGCTAATAAACCATTAAGTATTGAAGAAATTGAAGTAAGTCCACCACAAAAAGGTGAAGTCAGAATAAAGGTAATCACAAAATTTGGAAATATCCTTATAATTATTTTTTTAGATTTGTTATTCAGCTATTTGTCATTCTGATATTTATGTAAATAAATAAAATATTTAATTAATTTTATTAAATATTTTTAGGCATTAGAAAGCGATAAGACTAATTATCCAATAATTCTTGGTCATGAAGCTGCAGGAATTGTTGAATCTGTTGGGGAAGGTGTTAGAGATGTTGTAGCTGGTGATTATGTAATTCCTTCTCCTTTACCTCAATGCCGTAAATGTAAAATTTGCTTAAATTCAAATGGAAATATTTGTGAAGAATTTACTTTTGGGTAATTTTTAATAATTAAAAAATTACTAATAATTTTTTTAGAAATATTCGTAGCGAAATAATGGATGATGGAAAAACTAGATTTAATTGTAAAGGAAAACAAATATTTCATTTTGTTGGTTTAAGTACTTTTAGTGAATATGATGTTGTTAGAGAAGCTGCTGTTTGTAAGGCTAGTTTTTTTTGAAAATTCGGTTCCTGTCTAATTGATGTGTCCATTGACAAAATAATGTAGAAAAGTATAAACCTTTTAAAGTTTATACTTTTGATAATATACAAATTTTGATAATATACATACGAATTATTGTTTAGTTCACTCAGCGGATCCATAAAAAGAACCGATTAGATAACTAAGCTTATTTTCCAAGAAAACGTCTTTCAGTCCCAACTCAAGATGGAAGATTATATAAGATTTTATTATTCTGTTTTAAACCAGTTGTTTCAAATCCAAAGTTTAATATATGATACCTTAGAGAATTAATATATGTAGGTATATGTTTTGGACAATTAATAGAGATTTAAAATCAATTTAAATTACATTTAAAGATAAATCCAAAAGCTCCATTGGACAAAGTTTGTTTAATTGGCTGTGGAGTAACTACTGGGTATGGTGCTCCTTTTAATTCTTGTAATGTTACAAAAGGCAGCACTGTGGGTGTTTGGGGAATGGGTGCAATTGGGTTATCTATTGTCTTGGGATGTAAAGCAAAAGGGGCAGAAAAAATTGTTGGAATTGATTGTAATGAAGAAAGATTAAAGAATGGTTAGCATGTAGTTATTAAAGTTAAACTGACCTCAGTTTTAAATTTTTTATGATAACAGAATTTATTTCCGCTGTAATCTTTATAGACAAAAAATAATTTTAAATTAATTTCTTAACATTTTTTAGCTGAAAAATTCGGAATAACTGATTCACTAAATCCAAAAAATTTAAATGGAGATTCAAAAACATTTGTTGATTATATTAAAAAGAAATATGAAGGAGGTTTTGATTTTACATTTGAAGCTACAGGAAATACAAAAGCTATGGTTAATTAAAAAAAAATTTTTTTTAATTTCTTTATTCGAAAAAAAATATTTAGAAAGAAGCTATTGACTGCTCAAAAATGTCTATTGGACAGACATGTATTATTGGGGTTTCAGATGGTGATGTTTGCATTAATGCTGCAGAATTAGTATGTTTTGGAAGAACTATTCGTGGTTGTGTTGTTGGGGGTAGGGAAGAAGGAATTATTTTAATAAAATTTAAAAATTGTTTAAAAAAGGATATAAAACTCGTGATGCAATGCCGATGCTTGTTGAAAAATATTTAAAAGGGGAATTACCTCTCGAGAAGTTTATTGACTGGCGATTTCCTTTAATTCAAATAAATGAAGGAATTGAACATTTAAAGAATTCTCGAGGGTGGGGAAATCATTTTTTAAAATTTATTTTTAATTTTTAGTATACGTTCTGTTATTACTTTGGCTGGTGACAACAAATAAAAAGAATTTTTATTTTTAATTTTTTAAATATAAGAATTATTTTGAAATTAACTTATAAATTAAATATTATTTAAAAATTATTTAATTTATCACATTATTTTATTGAAAAATTTATAAAAAATAAATTTATTCACATAAAATATTACAACTATTTACATATCTATACAAAATAGTTTTTCAATTTTTCAAAATTCAATAGTTTCTCAATTCACATCCATTAATTCCACAATTTTCAATATTATTCTGAATTCCTGCATATATCGGCACACTTTGTCTTTTATTTGGCGATATTTGAGAATTTGAACTTGAATAGGATCGAACAGGGTTTACTACATTTACTTTAGCTAATCCTCCAACACCCATTGCTTGAACAGAATTATTGAGTACTTTGATTTTAGATGATCTGGAAAATAAAAATCTCGTTATTATAGTTTCTTAACGCCAAAAATGCTAATTGTAAGATAGGAATGAAAAATGCAGATTTTCTTTGCTGACAGGTGGGGGAGTCAACTTGACAGTACCGAATATAGCTAAACTATATCTCCACTCAAATACAATTTATTAAAAAAACTCTAATAATAAAATAATTTACTTGAATGTGGGTATCCAAGGAAATTTCTGTCTAATTTTATCATTTAATTCAGTTGATGCCCAAAGAAGAAACCATGCAGGGAATGCAACTGTTCGAAGATCACTTAACCAAATATACTGATTCGAAAGTATTAAATTAAAATTTGTTGTAAAAATTTGTCCAAGTACTTGAATTGTTAGAAGAAGCTTTTTTGAAGAATTTAAATAATTTTTAATTTAAATTTAAAAAATACCCAAAAAAGACATAAAAGAAATTGTGCAGAGAAAATAGCAATTGTATAAACTAAAAGACGAGAACTTTTATCGTTAGCTGTGTTCGCTGGAAGATTTGACTGTTTTTTGCGATAAATTAAATAAACAGCCAAATTTAAAAGAATATTAACAAATAAATAACCAATTGATGTCATTAACATAACCATATAATTGGTTATTAACTGGAAATAATTTTAAAAATTTTAAAAAATAAAGATCAACTCTAGGGATATAAATGTGTTTATCTCGAGAATTTTATTCATTATAAAGACTCCTAATTTAATTTAAAAAATATTTACGGGTCTCTCTTCAGCTGATTTTATATTCATCACAATTTCAACAGAAGCATCCTTATTTACTTCAAAAAGTAAGGGCCAATATCCAAAACGATATGTGAATAATAAAGGACCAAAAAATATAAGAATTCCACAAAGGGGAAGATATAATCGCCAACTCTGAAAAAAAATTTAGAAAATTAAAATAAACGATTTCAAAATTAAGAACAACCTTTTCGTAATCAAAAGGTTTTGCAATAACACTTAAACGATGTAAGAGGGTGGAAATTGTAATAAAATTCTCGCAATGATAATTGTAAAACATCAAAAAAATGAGTAAATTAGGCCCCCAATTAGGCAACCCCAAATAATAATTGTTTATCCATCCAAGACGAATCAATCGTGCAAATATTATTGAAGGGATGAAATTCATAAAAATATTCTTTAAAAAAAATAAAATTAAAAAAAAATTAATTTTTAGTCAATGAAGGATATTTAAAAAATATGTATACCGTATTTCCTCTAAAATAGCCCCCCTCTAAAATACACCCCCCCCCCCTTCTAAAATAGCCCCTTTCCATAAATATCTTAATTGTTTTTTTCAAGGAATGGCATAGCTGAGTCCATATATTTCATTAAAATTAAAAAGGATTAAGAGGGATATCGGGAAATTTGAAGTGATATAAGGGGTTCTGATGGATTAAGGGGATAGTGGAGGTTTAAGGGGTTAGTCTTTTTTTGTCCGATCCAAATACATAATATTATTATTATGTTTAAGAACGTGTTTCATTACAATAATATTTTAATGATAAAAAACTTACATTAAAAGCAGAAAGAAGAAAAAGTTTATAAAAACTTGAATTAAATTGTTTCCAATTTCGAAGAATAGTCCAACATTCAATCAAATAAAGCAAAACTGATGGGACGGAAATTATTGCACCAATAGTTTGGCCTATATAAATATCTAGTGAAGATTGTGATTTTGATGACATTTTTTGGATAGTTTTTTTGAAGATCTTTTTATTTTTAAAAAAGAGAGGTTTTGAGAAAATTTAATTTTCTGTTTTGTATCTAATAAAATTAAAAAGAAAATTAAATTAAAATTTAATAAAAGAACAAAATAATTTTTAAAAATAATATTTTAATTAGAAATTAATTTCTTGGTTTAATTAGAATTAAAAATTATTTTTTAATTTAACAAAAATTAAAAATAAATTTATAGCGTATTTATAAATTATAGTAATAAAGATTTATAGCGTATAAATACATAACATTTAAAACAAAAGAAAATGTTTCTTTATATAGAAAAATTAATTTTTAAAAAATATTTTTTTTATTTTTATTTAAAAAATTTATTTTTTTGTCACGGAATTTATTTTCTTTGTCTAAATTAATTTTAAATTAATTAATTTTAAAATTTTAAATTAATTAATTTATTACAGCCGAATAATTTTAATGGAAATAGCTAGTTGTAGCGAACTTTCGAGTTCGTTAATTTAGTTCGAGTTTATTTTTTTTTTCGAGTTTGTTACAAGAAGATATTTTAATTCGAGTTTATAATTCGAGTTCGTTACAAGAAGATATTTTCCTATTCTTATTAATTTTTAACTAAAAAATCTATTTTTATTTAAATTTAGGTATTTGTTAATTATTAAAAATATAGAAAAATATTTAAAATAAAATAATTTTTATTAACAAAAATATTTGAACATCTGGCAAATATTATTTATGTAGATTGAATTTTTAAATACCAAGAATTCTATATTAAGAAATAAATACGCAACTTCAAAAACCCCCTTTAATATTTAAAAAATTATTTTCTCACATTATTATAAAATAAATCTGGGAATTTTTAGTTTGATTTCTTGTAGCTTAATTTTTAAAAATTTCTTTTATTTTCCCATTAAAATTATGTATGTACAAATCTATTTTTGAAAATGAAAACCAGTTAAATTTAATAAATATTTGGAATTTTAGAAATTTTTTTTCGTCTACAAGTCAAATTAAATTATAATTGGAGATTTTGATTTTTAAAATTTTTACTTTAAAATATTTGTTTGAATAAATAATTTTAGTTAAATTTAATAATTAATAATTAGTTTTTATGGATGAATATAGGGGGAATTGTGAGTATATTTTAGAAATAGAGGATTGAATTAGTTAATTAAATTATTTAAAGAATTAGTTGTTATGTTGAATGTGTATATACACTAGAATCGTGTTAATCCGTCGTTTTTTTAACGAGAGGGGCTCAAAAACAATTAAAGGGACGCAGTGCGAAACGTATGATTGGGAAAACGTATTAGCGAGATAAATGGATATCTCTTAAAATTCTCCTTTCTAATATTTAATAAAAATCATCAATCATTTAAGATATTTTAAAAACTAAAATATTCCATTCTTTATAAATATAAAATAATTAAATTTAAAATAAAATTTTCTAAGGGAAATAAAATTAAATTAAATACCACACTGAAGTTCATAACTATAATTTTAATTTTTCAGTAAATTTAATAAAATAATTTTTATTTTTGTAAATAATTTAATATTTACATAATTGTCTTCAAGAAAATGGGAATAATTTATATTTATATTTAATTAAATTTTTATAATTTTAGTTAAAAATAATTAAAAATAATTTTAAAATAATTAAATTTATTTGAAAAAATATTAAAAATTAATTCTTAATATTTTTACAAAAAAATATTTAATGTAAAAAAATCCAAAAATTTATTAAATTATTCTAATAAATTTATTTCTAGTTGTATAATTAGATAAAAATTCTTTAAAAAATTTTTATCTTTGAATTAATTTAAAAGGGAAATGAATAAATATAATTAAATAAAATACTTATTTATTTTGTTATATTGAAAATTAATTAGTTATTAATTAAAATATTTAATTTTTATACAAACGAAAGCGGATTTACACCTTGCACGAGCGGATTTACGCTGCAACTTTTATCTTTAAAGAATAATACGTACTAAAGTAGGTTAAGTCTAATTTTTCAGCTCCCGGACTCTCTTTCAACTCTCGTAATTTCTTTCATTTCCTGTTCCCTATTGTGATTATTTTTATATTTTTTAAAGATACTGTCGGCATACAGCAAATATCACGAAATCAAAAAGCTTACTTTTATAAAAGAGATTTATTCAAATAAATTTTATTAGATACATACTTTAAAGAATTTTAGATTTATTCTAAAAAACTTTCCCTTGTTTATTCTTTCATTTGTTTAAATCTTCCAGATATAAGCAAAATAAAGCCTTGTCCGGCAACTTTTATCAATCACATCTTTTCTATAATCTTAAGTTTTGATATAAGGATATTTCCAACCACCAAATGATTTATTAGTATAATCATTAAAATTATTTATTTCATCAAAACTATTATACCATAATGGAATTTCTTTAAATTTTTGAGTATTTCCTGTAATTGATGTCCAATGAGATTTTGATGAATAAATACCATAAAGTATATTATTTTCTTTTAAAATTTCTATCATTTCCTTTGAATAAAATTAATTTTGAAAAATTATTTCTATTTTTATTTAAAAAGTAGAAAATATATTTAAAATTCACTAATCTCACGACTGAATCCTTTAACGAATATTTTAATAATATTTTAATATATACCTCGATAAATTTAATATTCCTTTCTTTATCTTCATACCAACGATAAGTCGTATTTGCATTGTTCATTCCAGCATCCCCAGCAATATCAAACCAAATCTTACCAATTTTTAGATTATTTTTATTGAGCTCGTTAAAAATTGAAGCAATTATTTCTCTGAAATGAAAAATTGTTGGAAGAAGGTAAATTGATTTTCAAAAGCCTATTTCCTCTTTTTTTATTATTTAAGATTTTTGTATGACTTCCATATTTCTAACACAGTGTTTTTGTTGTTAGTGAAAGACTATATTCAAATTTTTTATTTAACAAAAACTCTTATTCAAATAAGAAGTACTAATATTAATTTTACCTTGGAGTACGATTAAATATTTTCCTTGGTTTAACAAAATTTAGTGTGATTTTAATATCGACGTCCTCAATCCCCGCTGCATAAGCATTTTTAATATTATTTTTAGCAATATCATCAATAGTTCCATTGCTTGATGCACTAACAATAACAAATTTAATTGTAAAATTTTCTTTCAAACATTTAAAATTTTCGGTACTAGCATATTCACGTAAAGCAACTCCTTCAATTGAATTTACAGAATTTTGAATAGAAAAAATAATGAAAGCAGCGATTTGAAGAAAATTAAAAATACTCATTTTAGATTATATGTAAAAAATTTTTATCCGCCTAAATTCGTAATTTATTATTACTTTTTGTCATATTCTTAGATCATACTTAGAAGATCAAAATATGAGTTTTTAAATACTTTCCGTTATTATTTAATTGTAACTTATAATTAACGTAAAAAAAGAATTATAATACTTTTATTAAAGAGGTATAATTTCATATAACTTGTAATGTTCTGCTACAAAAAATTTAACTGTTTCCACGATTCCGGATTGTTCCGAAATTTTAACGGCTCCATAGTTCCGTTCCTCTCACCCGGACGCAGGTATTCCTGTATTTGCTATAATAAACATTAAAGGACTTTTATCCGCTGTCTAAATAACAATTTAAAGAATACTACATATATGTACTTTTAAAAGAATGAAATGTGTTGAAATTCCCCTTTTCCTTTGTTTAGTTAATTAACTTTATTATTTTTTCTAATTTATCATTTTTTATTGATACTTAAAATCTTAAGGCGTTTTAACTTTTTGTTTTACAAAAAATTGTTATTTTGAACACATGTTTAAAATTAATTTAGTCAATATAAAGTACTGGAGAACTTTTTAAACTGTTCAATTAATTTTGATCAAAAGATTAATCAGGTATTTTTTAATATTGGCAGCAAAAGATGGTGAAAATTTACTTAAAAAATCAGTATTTAAAGTACAAAAGTAGTATAAATACGATTTTTAAGACATTTTTTAAAAAATGTCTTAAAACATCGTATTTGAAAAGGTGTTTAAAATATTTTAAATAAAAATATCTCTTTAGGTCACAAACATTCCAAATACCAGATAAACCTAAGCATATAGGCAATATATTGAAATAAAATTTAAATAAAAAATTAAATAATTTGCTCAAAAAATAATAAATTTTTCTCTAAGTGGAAAATAAGGAAATAATATAATAAAAAACAGGTTAGCACATAGAAAGGAATAGAACAGAAAATAAAAAACATCTTTAAATTGAATCATCATTTAATAGAAAATGGAACCATGAAATAAAAAGTTGAAAAAATAAAAATTATTCGCTTAAAAAATAATTATTTTTTTCTCTGAGTGGAAAAAGAAAATTAAAATCAAAATATAGGTTAGCACTCAGAGAGAAGTAGAAAAGAAAAATAAAAAAACAGCTGAAATTGG